CTGAGCCGTCACAAGAAGCCTAGGGGCGCCGGGGAGCTGGCGGTGAGGCCTGGGCGCTGGAGAATTCGGCAATAGAGGGACCGGAGCGGGGAGGCGAAGGGATGCGGGCGGGCCCAGGAGAGGGGGCGGTTTGCAAGATCGCAGAATGACTTCTCCCTCTCTCTCTTTCCCCGCCCCTCTCCCCCCTGCAGGGCACGCTGACTTTCTCCAAGGAGCTGCCCAAGTCCCTGGCCGGCGGCCTGCTCCCCAGCCCCCTGGCGGTGGCTGCGGTGATGGCAGCGGCAGCAGGCTCCCCGCTGTCTCTGCGCCCGGCCCCAGCCGCACCTCTTCTCCAGGGACCGCCGATCACCCACCCCCTGCTCCACCCGGCCCCCGGGCCCATCCGAACTGCGCACGGACCCATCCTCTTCTCCCCCTACTGACCTGAACCCTGAACCCCCTCCCATTCAACCCCCCACCTCCAGCCGGGACCCAGGCCTCCGGGCTCCCAGCCCGCCCCTCCTCCCGGCACTCCCTGAATGATCTCTCTCCTTCCCCCCCACCCCGAGGTACGGGGTTCCAGGAAAGGGGAGGGGTAGCGGGGAAGGGGGGCTTCAGAAGGGGGGGAACACCCCAGATCTCAGGGAACCCCGCCCCCTGCCCTTTTTCCTCTCCCCTAGAAAAGGGGGGGCCGTCTCACCCCCGAGCCCCCTTGGAGACACCCCCCCTCCCAAAAGCCATGTCCATCCAGCCCTTCCCCCCAAACCTAGCACAAAACGGGGTTCACAAGCCATGGTCGGGGTCCAGGGGGCAGAAATGGATTTTCTTGGCAATAAGCGGACTCTGGGACTCCGGCCCCCTATCCCCAAACTGAAGCGCTTCCGTGAACACCCCCGTCCTCCGCAGGGGGAGGGGTGCAGGCGGGATCCTGGGTCCCTCATAAAGCACTTTGGTTTTACCGCCTGCAACCTCACTGTGCCCGCCCCGCACCATGCCCCAGCCCCAGGTCTAGCCGGACCCGTCGCAGGGGGCAGTACTTGGGGGCATCTCTGGCACTTGGGTGGGACCAAGTAGATGCCCTTATAGACCCTTCCCTCACCTTCTTCCTCCCCAGTCCGGATTCCATTCTTTTCACCAGCACCCATCGCCCAAGGGGTACCGAGGGGGGCAAGGGGTGTCCAGTCCAAGCCCACCCCCGCCTCGCCTTCCGCAAAACTGTGAGCAAAAAGCAATAGAAGCCTCGCCCCCGCCCCTCCCCTTTCCGCAGGATTCGCAGAGTCTGTAGCCTCCCCCATCCCACCTCCTATAGACCTCATGGCTGTCCCCTCCCACCAGACACCTCCACTGCACAATTCGGGCGGGGACGTGACCTCCCCCCAACCTCTGTGGTTTCCGTATCGTCAGCCTTTCCAGCAGCCGACCCGGGAGCGGGACGGCCCCCACTGGCCTTCCCCTCCCCATCAACTCTTTTTGCTTGACGATGTAGCAACCCCGGCCCCCTACCGACGTCTTTCCCTTTTCCCCTTCCCTGACAATAAAGTCTGGATTCGTTGCCCTCCGCCCCCCAGACTCAGACTCGCAACTTGGCCTGCTGTTTTGGGAGCAATTCCATGGGGAGATGTATCTGTATGGTGAGGCGGGCCGGCACACAGGAAAGGGGCCAGAAGGAGGAGGGGAACCCGAGGCTTGTGCAAAACGAGCAGAGGCTCCGGTCCCACCCACTCTCTCTCCCGCCCAGCTCAAGCGTAAACTTGGCCCTGGGGAATTGTTTCGAGTCCAGGTCTCGGATTGCAGCCAGGGCTGTTGCGAACTCTTGGCGGCTCCACCAGGCGGCGCCAACGACATGGAAAAGGCGTCTCCCCTAGGCTAAGCCGCTCCTGTGGTGTGTCTACATCTAGGCAGACAGGTCTCGACCCAGTCTCAGACAAAGGAAAGAATGCGGGCTTTTGTGCCTCTGGTGGGAAACCCACGCCAATGACACGCAAGGCACGGGAATAAGTGGGGGCAGGGCCTGGGAAATCTGGGTTCTAGGCTCTGCTAGGCCCCATATACATATTGACCTTGGGTTAATCCTTCCCCTTTGTGGACCCCTGTTTCCCCATCTGCAAAATGAGCAGACTTGGGTCTCTCTTAAAAATTCATTGAGACTTCATGTGTCCAAGACTAAAGAACTGGGACCGTGCCATTTACGGATATGCTAGAATACCATCTCGTCCCCTAAATGGTCTGTGGGTCCGGGGAGCACACTCTGCTCAGCTTCCTCTCACCTGCTGTGGGGGGAAGGAGTCTCCTCTTTATTTCCAGAATTCAGTTCAACAGCACAACACCAAGAGCAGCCAGTGACTCCGTGACCCCCTCCCTCCAGCCCTCCTGGGTGGCAAGAAGTTCAAACAGAGAAGCCAGACCAGAAGCCAGCATCCCTGCGGGGTCCCCCTGAGTTGCGTCTTCTTTGCTCACTTCCCCCTCTCTACCCACTTCCCAGTCTTGCAGACGAAAGGGGGAGGGAAGGTGAGATAAGAGGAAGGAGAAGGGAATAGGGGCCTCTTGGGTTTGTCAGTTGGGAAGTTGGGGGTGGGAGCTCACTGTGGGTTCAGAAATGGAACCCAGGGCCGGCTCCGTGGCTTAGCGGTTAAGTGCGCGCGCTCTGATGCTGGCGGCCTGGGTTCGGATCCCGGGCAAGCCCCAAGGCGCCACTTCTCCGACCAATGCGAGGCCGAGTCCCACATTCAGCAACTAGAAGGATGTGAACCTATGACATACAACTATCTACTGGGGCTTTGGGGGGAAAAAATGAATAAATAAAATCTTTAAAAAAAAAAAAAAAAGAAATGGAACCCAACAAGGAGTTTTGGAGGTTTTTTTTTTTCAGGTCAATCTAGGCAGAGAAAAAAAAGGCAGAGACTGGAGATCCAGAAGTCTGACAGGCCAGAGTGGCCCTATAGGAGAGTGGGTGGAGAAGAGCAGGGGCTGGGTCACACGAGGGCAGAGAGTTGGGGCCGGAAAAAATTGGGGTTAGAGGGGCTGGGACACTAGCATGTGCCACAGGTACCTCAAACCTGGTTTAAAACCGAATTCACAACATAACCCTTTCCCCAAGCCTGCTGCGCGTCCCACATTCCCCCTTATTGATTAAGCACATCGCCATCCACTGGGAAAACTGGGATTCATCCTAGTCTTCCCTCTTCCTAACCCTTCATCCAGTGAGTCACTAAATAAGTCCTATTTGACCTCTTAACGACCTATGGACCCTTATCATTCTTCTCTATTCCCACAACCACCACCTTAACCAGGGCTGGCTACATAATTTGTGGGGTCCAGAGCAAAATGAAAAAGCAGGGCCCGTTGTTCAAAAAGGATCTCAAGACAGTGACCGCAGAGCATTAGACCAATCACTAGACCCTTCTAAGTGCGGGACCCATGCAATTACACAGGCAGCATGCCACAGACCCGGCCCTGGCGCTAACCCAGGCCCTGCCCATCTCTTGTCTGAACTGGTGCCTCTGACTGGTCTCTCGCATGTCTGGCCTGCAGGCTTTCACTCCTAACTCACAGCTATCTGAGTGCAAATCTCCCCATCGCCTTCAGGATAAAACCTCAGCTCCTCAGCGTAATACACAGGCCTTCCTTGATCCCGGCCTGCTCACCTCCAGAACCTTCTCTGTTGCTCCATACCTCACACTCTTTGTTCACCCCTACCTAAACCTCTGTGACTGTAGCACCGTGCTCCCTTTGTCTAGAATGTCCTTCTACTTATCTCCCCAAAAAACTCCTATTCATCATTCAAAATCCAGCTCAGGTATCTCTCTGCGAAGTCCTTCCTGACCTCCTCCTAGGCAGCTCTCCCCTTTTCTCTAAGCCCCTGATAGTCTTTAGAGCGAGGCTCAGCAGGCAAACTTTTTCTTAAAGGGCTAGATAGTAAATATTTTAGGTTGTGCCGGCCGAGAAGCAAAATTGAGGATATTATATAGGTACTTATATAACCATTTAAAACCTAACCATTTTAAAATGGAAAAAACATTCCTGGCTCATGGCCCATACAAAAACACATGGTGGGCCACATTTGGCCCAAGGCCAAAGTTTGCCCACCCCCTCCTTTGGAGAACCAATTAAACATTTATTTATACATTTACATACTGTCTCCTCTACTAGACTATGCACAAGCCCATGTATCAAAACTTCTTGTATTCCCAGTGCCTAGCTCAGAGCCCAGTGCATAATAGGCACTCAATACATACTTGTTGAGTGAATGGATGAATGAGTGAATGAATGATGGAACAGGAGCCCAAGCCCCTGTGGGGAGTGAAGCCGGAATCCTGGATGCTTCATTTCCCACTTTCCTTCATCTGACTCCTTTTCTCAAATGTGCTAAAGTATCACATGGGACCCTCTGACTTGAACCATCTCCAAGTCCTGGAACGAGGGGAGGTGGTGCTCCCCCAAGACAAACACAAGCCTTCTGGGGTGCCTAGAGTTGCTCCTGGAACTTGGTCTTGTCTTTTGGCCCCTTGAGAAGTGGTCCAGATAGCCGGATGCTCTGTCTCCTTGTCTCGACATTTCTCAGCAATGATCGTATAGGTGTCTGCAACACACAGAGAGGAAGGAAAGGGAGCTTGGGTCTCAGGAAGAAGAAAGGAGGGAGTGACACAGCTTTGGAGTAAGTAGCAGGGGAATTTCAACAGAGAAGCCCAGATTTCACTAGCCAAAGCAAAATGAGTAGAACCGGAGGCGAGGGAGGAAGTGGCTGAGGTTGGGTAACTGGGGAGTTTCTTATTCTTTCAGTCTAGTAAAATAGGACACAGGAGAGCAAGGGACCTCCTGTTTGCAGCCTGACTGCCCACCAGAAAGGACTGATCTTTGTGTGAGTTTCACTTCTTCCACTGGAGAGAGAAGTGAATGCTGACAGACTCCGGTGAGTAATTTTCTGGTGGGCATACTTTTACTGACTCTGTCTTTTCATCTCCCAGGTAGTAAAAACAGAAAAAAATTGAAATGCGTATGTATGTGTAGCAGAGTGGGGCAGAGGGGGCTACGGCAGCATCCTGAATACAGAGAGGGGACTCCTGGGTGGTCTTAGGGGACAGGGAAGGAATCTAGAAAGGTTGGAGGGTGCCGGGGTTACTGAGAGTATCTGGATGGATATTGAAGAGACCTGGAGTTTGTAGTGGACAGAGACTAAGAGGTATTTAGATAAGAATTTGGGAAAATCTTTGAGAATGGGAAAGGACTAAGAGAGTTTAAGGAGAGGGTTGGAGATCTTGGAATGAAGAGGCCTGGGAATGGCTTGGGAGAGGTGAGCTCCGGAGCAGTTCAGGTGTCCAAGGGCCCAGAGTTGTTCACGAGATCTAGATTCGAGGTCGGGTAGTGACGCCTTCTTCTTCTTCCCCCGCCCCTCTTCAGCCTCCATCATGTGGAACATCTCTGATGCCAACTTCTCCTGCTATCATGAGTCTGTGGTTGGCTATCGTTACGTTGCAGTTACCTGGGGGGTGATGGTGGCTGTGACGGGCACCGTGGGCAACGTGCTCACCTTGCTGGCCTTGGCCATCCAGCCCAAGCTCCGTACCCGCTTCAACCTGCTCATCGCCAACCTCTCAGTGGCCGATCTGCTCTACTGCACCCTTCTCCAGCCCTTCTCCGTGGACACCTACCTGCACCTGCGCTGGCGCACCGGCGCCACCTTCTGCAGATTGTTTGGGCTCCTCCTCTTTGCGGCCAACTCTGTCTCCATCCTCACTCTCTGCCTTATAGCCCTGGGACGCTACCTCCTCATCGCCCACCCTAAGCTCTTTCCCAAAGTTTTCAGTGCCAAGGGGATAGTGCTGGTGCTGGTGGGCACCTGGGTGGTGGGTGTGGCCAGTTTTGCCCCCCTCTGGCCCATCTATATCTTGGTGCCCGTAGTTTGCACCTGCAGCTTTGACCGCATCCGAGGCCGGCCCTACACCACCATCCTCATGGGCATCTACTTTGTGCTTGGGCTCAGCAGCGTCGGCATCTTTTACTGCCTCATCCACCGCCAGGTGAAGCGAGCGGCACAGGCGCTGGATCAGTACCAGCTGCGCCAGGCAAGCATCCGCTCCAACCACGTGGCTGGGACAGAGGACGCCATGCCTGGTCATTTCCAGGAGCTGGACAGCGGGCTGGCATCAGGAGGGCCCAGTGAGGGGATTTCTTCTGAGCCAGTCAGCGCTGCCACTACCCAGACCCTGGAAGGGGACTCCTCAGAAGTGTGGGACCAGAGCAACAGCAAGGTAGCTAAACAGATGGCAGAGAAAAACTCTTCAAGAGCACCTGCCAAGGCCAGGCCAACTAAAGGAGCCCAGAAAGCTCAGGACTCACCATCAGAGTTTGGGAAGGTGACTCGGATGTGTTTTGCTGTGTTCCTTTGCTTTGCCCTGAGCTACATCCCTTTCTTGCTGCTCAACATCCTGGATGCCAAGGTCCAGGCCCCCCGGGTTGTCCACATGCTTGCTGCCAACCTCACCTGGCTCAATGGTTGCATCAACCCTGTGCTCTATGCAGCCATGAACCGCCAGTTCCGCCAAGCCTACAGCTCCCTCCTAAAACGAGGGCCCCAGAGTTTCCGTAGGTTCTATTAGACCTGTGTCCCCAGTCGCCAGAATCTGGGACCGTCTCCTCCAGGACTAAAGTGGCCAGCTGATGCGGGAGTAGATGAAATGTCTGTGGGCATTTTTATAGACAACCTCCCCCCAACCCCCAAACCAGACTTCTCCATCCCCTGCTCAATGTTTCCGTCCTAGGCTGCCCAAGGTGCATTATTAATTATTAATAAATGAATTTCATCCTTTTAATGCTCAGGTGTGGTCTTTGGGGAAGAAGGAAACAGGCCAGGGTTGGTCTGCAGCTGGAACCTAGGAATTGAGGGTTGGGGAAACCGAGGTCAGAGCAGAGGCAGGAAGCAGTGGGCCTGGGACAGAGCCTTCAGCTGAGGGGTTTCCAGGTATAAAACATGTGAGTTGCTTTAAGAGGACCAGACTCCTTTTTGTTTAGCTTCCCAGAAATGACCGCTGCCCCTAACTACTGCTGCCAGGATCCCCCATCCCTGCAAACAGGATTTTTCAGCTCAAAAAAGTTTTGTAATCCAGCTTTGACAGCCGCTCCAGGGAGTCCAGCCCTCTGGCCAATTCCAAAGAGAATGGTCACGGGGAGGACTCCTCGCTCTGTGGAAAGGGAGCTGAACTTAGCTGGGACACTGGCAGGCCCGCGTTCTAGCTGCCCTAGCTGGGTCGTACTGGCTGGAGCTAATTCACCTGGCCCCTCACTTCCCCTAGACTTGCTCTTGTCATCCTGGGTTATGAAAGCAGAACAGAAACTCTTAACTAAAGAGTGCTCAGGGGGCCACCCCGTGGCTTAGCGGTTAAGTGCGCGCGCTCCGCTGCTGGCGGCCGGGGTTCGGATCCCGGGTGGCCACCGACGCATCACTTCTCCGGCCATGCTGAGGCCGCGTCCCACATACAGCAACTAGAAGGATGTGCAGCTATGACGTACAACTATCTACTGGGGCTTTGGGGGAAAAAAAAGGAGGAGGAAGATTGGCAATAGATGTTAGCTCAGAGCCAGTCTTCTCAGCAAAAAGAGGAGGATTAGCATGGATGTTAGCTCAGGGCTGATCTTCGTCACAAAAAAAAAACAAAACAAAAAGAGTGCCTAGGGGCCAGGCTGAGGGGGATTATACCATTCCCTTCCCCCAGCATGACCGACAGCCTGTGCACGTGTGCATGCGCAAACTTAAAACACCTGTGGCCACCAGGTGACGCTGATTCTCTGTGTTTCCTTTCTGGCTTCCCTGTTGAGGACAGAAGGTGTCAGCGGGACTGGGAGTCCAGACACACCCACCCCCTCCAGGCCAGCAGGGGTGGAGACCCAGGGATCTGCACCCCTCCCTTTTTCCCAAAGGTTAGGAAGAAAATGAGGAATTAGAAATTTTTTATTCAGGCGATATTTATTGTCTACTTGGTTGGGGTGGAGGGAGCCCACAGTGAAGTGTGGGCACTGTCCTGGCACTGCAGATGGAAGTGACGCTGCTCTGGCTGTATGCTGTCCCTTCCCTGCCCCCAAGGCCACGGTTTGAGAGAACAAAGTGAAGTCCAGAAAGATTCAGATAAGAGCAGACAGAACTATCGTCGGGGTGGACAGATGGACACCCTCACCTTCAACACACTTCCAGGGCCCAGGAATCCAGCCTCCTAATCTGGACATGTGCTTCTTCTTTTTTTTTTTTTTTTTTTTAAAGATTTTTATTTATTTATTTTTCCCCCAACGCCCCAGTAGATAGTTGTCTGTCATAGCTGCACATCCTTCCAGTTGCTGTACGTGGGACGCGGCCTCAGCATGGCCGGAGAAGCGGTGCGTCGGTGCGATCCCGGGATCCGAACCCGGGCCGCCAGCAGCGGAGCGCACGCACTTAACCGCCAAGCCACGGGGCCGGCCCCTGGACATGTGCTTCTGAGTGTCCTCCTTCCACAAAAATCACAGCAGCCTAAACTGAGTCAAGTTCAGGCGACTGAGGCAGGGGCCCAGACAGGGCAGGTGAACAGCAGGACCAATAAGGAACATCAGCCTGGGAGTGAAGAGAGCAGGGCTGCAGCAAGGCTCTCTGATAATTCGCTCTGTGAACGTGAGCAGGACCCTGGACCATTCTGGGCCTCAGGTTTTATCATCTGTACAAAGATGGGGGCAGGGGGTACTCATCATGTACCCAGTGCTGTCCTAAATTCTGTAAATATATTATTTTGTGTAGTCCTCACACAATTTACCATGAAGTATCTATTATAATCTCTTGCTTACAAACGAGAAAATTGAAGCACAAACAGGTTAAGCAGTTTGTCCCAAGTCAAAGGGCTAGTAAGTGGTATGACCATGATTTGAGAGCAGAGAGTCTGACTTTAGAACCAGCACACATGTCTAACCACTACACGCAGCAGCCTTTGTAAAACTAGAATCAAATGACCAGATGATCTCTAAAAGTCCTTCCTCCTCAGCCCTTCTAAGATTCTGAAAGTCAACAATTCTCTGAAGGGCTGTAAAAGGGTTCCCTTTTCATAGTCCTTGAAGACAATTCAAAAGGTTTGGCAAGTAGAAAGGAGCAGCAATAGGGATTGAGGTTAGACGTCAGGAGGGACTTCCCAATTATCAGTCGCTGGAAAAAAATGACTCAAGTGGCACTGGAGGAAACCGTGGAGTCTGAGGACAGAGAGGACAGAGCCTACCAAGAAAGCAACCCCCTCCTCCCTCACCCTCCGCAGCCCACACAGCCACTCCCAACCCCTAATTTCAATACGGGCTGGGGAAAAGGGGCGGAAGATTATCTCTCAGATTATCTTTCTTTTTCTTGCGGGTGTGCATGACGCGTGTGTGTCCACCCTCATGGTGAGGAGCTCACGCGTGTCTCGGGGAAGCGTATGCATTTGGGGGCCCTCCTGAGTGTGAGTCAGTGTAGACGTCTCTCTCTGTCTCTTTATCTCGGTCAGTCTCCCGCCCGAGCCCGAGCTCTATCGCTGACTTTCTATCTCTCAAGGCTTCTCTTTGTCTCTCTCCATCTGTCCGTCTCTCCTGGAGGCTGTCTTCATCTCTTGTACCTCTGTTATCGCCTTTTTTCTCCTAAGCTTGTTCTCTCCCTCCTCGCCTCGCTCGGCTCTCCCTGCGCCCCCTCCCCGACCCCCCTCCCGGGTCCCCCACCCCGGGCCCCCTCCCCAGTCCCCCGCCCCTGCCGCTCTCGCTCGCTCGCACACTCTCTCTCTTTCGCTGTCTCTTACAGGCAGATTTATGGTCAGCCCAGGGCCTTTCATTGGCCAAGCGCTGACAGGACTTGATTTAACGCCGCCTCTCATTGGCTGAGCTTGACAGGCCGATTTACGAGTCACTCTGCCATTGGCCGAAAGGCCTGGGCCCTGATTTATGGCTCGGCGGCTGCGGGGAGGGGGAGCGCAGCTGCGGGGTGAGGATGCCCCTCCCCTCGCCGCCCCTCCCGTCTCCCGCTCCCCGGCTTTCTCTCCCTCCCCTCGAGGAACCGCGCTCCCTCTACCTGTTCCTCCACCCTCTCCTCCCTCCTCTTCCATCCAGCGGGAGGGGAAAATGGGGTGTGGTCGTGGGAACCGAAGCAGAGATGGGGTCTGAAGGGGTACATATGGGCGGAAGAATCTGAGGGGAGGGCGCGGGGGCTCGAGTAGGGAGAGAACAGGAGGTTGAAGAGAGAGAGAGGGGGGACCCTGCCCTGAAGAGCGAAGGGGAAACTGAGGGGGCGAAAGGGGTGAGGGGAAAAAAGGAAGGCTGAGGAAGAGAAAGAGGTGGGGGTCCGAGGAGAAGAAAGAAGGAGAGACTGAAAGGAAAGGGCGCGTTTGGGGGGCAAATGGGCTGAGGAGGGAGATGGGGCACTGAGAGAGACTTTTCAAACCGCGCTCTCCAGACTGAATAAGAGGCGGCAATTTCCCCTGCAGACGACGGCTCTGAAAAGGGAGAGGCTTCGAGGAGCAAAGACAGAGAGAAAGGCGCAGATAGAGAGGGGAGATAGGAGAGGAGCAGGAAAGAACTGGAAGGTAATAGCGAAGAAAAGAGGGCGGGAGAAGGATGGAGAACTAATGGAGAAGACAGAACTAAGGTTGGTTTTTGTCGGGGGGGCGGGTAGTGAGACAAGACTCTAGAGGAACTCTAGAGAGAGACTCCTGCTCCTCCTCTCAGCGAAGACCCATTGGCGTCCGCGTGGGCACAACTCAGGCACCTCCCCCAGGAGATGCTCTGCTTCCTCGAGGCTGCAGTGGGCTCCCGTCTCTCTGCACCTCACTCCGCCCCCTTGCCCACCTCCCCAGTTAAATTTATGAGTTCAGGGCTGGCCTTCAGGAATTAGGAATATTTATGCTTCTTTGAGAGTGAGGTTTGGAAGGTGATAAATAAGGGGCTAAGGGGGGGTGCAGCTGGGGGCTCCTATTTTTAGCGTGGGCACTTTCCCAAGGCCCCCACCCACCAATTCCCTCTCATCCTGAGCCAGAGAAGGGAGCACTGAGTGAGGTGGGGAATGGATTTAAGATATCAGGAAGAGGGTCTGGCTATCCTAGAGAGCCCCTCACAGGACTGCAGAGCTTTGCAGCAGAAAGGATTTAAGGCAGATGGGGGAGGAACTTTCCAAGCATCCTGGCATTCTTACAGCCCCTGGAGTGCAGTTACAGCATTTCTGCAGAAGATGGAGAGAAATGGGGAGAAGCCAGTTTCCTCTCTGCCCTTCTAAGTTCAGTTGCTGAGGAAGAGGGGAGAGAAGCCAGGAAATTCAGAGGCAGGGTTCTCTGGCATGTCACCTCCCTCACAGGGAGAGGAAGATGTGAAATCTCCCACCCCCCACAGACCACAGCCTGGGTCCCTGGGAAAGGAGGCTAGGAATGTGGGGCTCAGGGCATCTCCTAGGAGTCTCAACCTCCAACCTGTCCACTCCCACTGCTGGCTGAGAATTAAAAACAGCCAGTAGTTCTTGATATCCCTTGCTCTGGGCCTCCAGAAAATGAGGGAGGGAGGATCTATCCCGGGGATCCACATGCCTTCTCCAGCCCTCAGCTCCAGCAGCCATGTGTCTGTGACCCCCAGCCCAGTCAGAGGGCCTGCTCTGGGCTTGGGTAGGCAGTGAAGAAAGATGGGGGTTCATGAAATAAGGGGGTATAAAGAGAACAGAGAGCTGAGGAAGAGTCGCCCCACCCTCCCTACACACACACACACACACACACACACACACACACACACCCCCCAGACTGTGCTGCCTAGAGTGGGAGAAGGGAGGGAGAGGAGGGTCTAGACTGGCCCT